ATTCTCTAAAACGCCTTTGGAGACGGCTAATCGTAGAGAAATTAACATTCAATTCCTGGGCAACAGCTCTGGTTGATATTCCTGCAGTCAGCATGCAAATTGCTCCCTCAAAACTTGCGACATCTGCGGCATTGTGTGTGTGATAAAACTGCACATTTTAGAGTGGCCTTTTATTGTGGCCAGCCTAAGCCACACCTGTGCAATAATCATGCTGTGTAATCAGCATCTTGATATGCCACACCAGTGAGGTGGATGGATTATCTCGGCAAAGGAGAAGTGCTCACTAACACAGATTTAGACAGATAATATTATTTTATTGAGAGAAATATGCTTTTGGGGCCGTAGAAATGGGGTCTTGCGCACCCAACGCGCCATTTTGCGCACCCAACGCAGACGCATCAAGTATAAACAAGGTTTTACTATGCGTCAGCGCATGTTCTGATCGGTAAAAGGGCACAGACCTCTCCCGAATCATCTCCAGCAGTAGCAGCATTCGAAGCACCAACTCCGCCTCTGTCTCCCTTGTAAGCTGATATTAGTATGAAAGCCGTATGAAAGATTGTGACCAAAACTGGTACTGCAATCACTTTCAAATTACCGTAGAGCGGTGAAAAAAAAGCTGTAAAAATACACCAAATACAAACTACAGACTCATTAAGAAATGAATACTGGAAGAAAGGATTACAAAGAATGGACATCATTATGGTGATATTAAGTAATTTTTCACTGTAGACCAACAAATATTTTCCATGAGAATGTTGTTAGTTCTTAGACATACTTTATGACAAAGAACAGGAACACTGTGGGAAACAACAGTTGCAGTTACAAGTTATCATTTTTTAGTGAAACCTGTCAAAACACCAATCAGAACCATGCTGTACACTGCATTAGAGAAAGATGGGAATTTAGGAAGGTGTGATTTTGTATGTAGTAAGTATGCTGTTCCCGTGCACATGCTTTGATGGATGTTGCAACAGGAGTGTAGTGATGTCATGGTAATGAGGATGTCGGCCGGGTTTGACCTACTGATACGGGAGTCGAGGAGAATTGAGTCTTTTTCCTCTTTCTTATTCTGTCTGTATCTTATAGCCTCTATGTCCTTTATTATCATTGGTCTTATCTGTGTTAATCAGAAAATCACATGTAAGCCTACACAGAACCATGGTGTCATTGGCCACTTGCTTACAGTATGTGTGTGTAACCACACTAAAATGTTTGTATCTTACAGAAACATACAGAGACCTGTATCAGAAACAAACAATAATTAGTAATAATTTGCCAGAACTGCCTTAATTCTTTGTGGCATATATTCAACAAGGTGCCGGAAACATTCCTCTGAGATTCAGGAGAGGAATCTCAGATGAGGTCCATATTGAGTTGATCGCATCATGCAGTTGCAGCAGATTTGTATTTATAAATATTTAATACACGCCGATAGTGGTTTTTCCGCTTACAAAGCATGTAGAAGTCTGCAATTTTTATCATGGGTACTCTTCAACTGTGAGTGACGGAATCGAAAAAAAAAAAACAGAAAATCACATTGTACTGTATGTCCATTTGAATGATGTATTAATTACCTTAAGATTGGATTGTGTTGTTAATAGGCACTTACCTAACCCTAAAATATGTTTTGTGCCTTTAACAAGTGCTTTCGATTCGCTTCTTTCTGATCTTAATGGTATGGAAAACACTTGAGTTTTGCCACAGACTGTCCCAGTGTCTAGAACAACTGATTCAAATGCAACTGAATGCGGGTAATTATTACGTTACCCCACCTCTTCTTGTTAATCTAGTTCAGTCCAAATAAAGCTTTAGCACATACACTCGCTACCGGTACAATTTAGAATTGATTAGAAGGTTTTAACTTCTGTATATAAAGCCTCTCAGGGTCTGGATACAGTTTACATTAGCTACAGTACAGATCTTTCAGACTGTACTATCGAGTTTACACTGAATGGATACTTGCTATAAAAAAGGGAAGGATTAAATGGTCTCTTCTTTACTGAAATGGCACTTTTCCACTGCTGGTATGGCTCGGTACGGCTCAGTACGGTACAGCTAGGCACGGCTTCGCTTTTTCACTGCGTGGTACGATAGTTAGTTAGTACCGCTAGTTAGTAGTTAGCAGTTAGTACCGCTTTAAAGTGGGTGGGATTAGTTTAAAAGCAGTCGCTACAGCGGTGGCTGTTACTGGCTATTTAAATCTAGCGGGTTTGGTTTCTTGCGTCACAAATACAATGACGCTGGTAGTGACGATTCTGTCTGACCAATCAGTGATCTGCAGTGTTTCACGTCACATTTTAGTACTGGCACCGCACGGTATGCTTGGAATCTCAACAGAGTATGTACCATTTAAAGCGAGCCGAAGCAAGCCGTACCGTACCATGCAAGTGGAAAACTCTCAAGCACTGAATTTACTGTTTATATACTGTATGTGCAGAAATTCCATGACTGTGCAAAGCACGCAAATACTGTACTCGATTGGTTGTCTGTTTCAAAGCATCTAGCTTTAATATTCTAAATACAACATTGTTTCACCCTGTACAAGTTTGGCACTGCGATGCGGGTCAACACTGCACAGTGTTTCACAACCCTGGGTAAAAAGCAGAGCGAACCCTGATTCTAAATTAAAAATGTAAAACGTTACTTTCGCGGGGATAAAGTATCAGTATCGTTACAGATACTTTCACAGCACAGTGTGAAAAGCCCTTCTGTGTTATACTGTAAAATATCATTTTTATAACTGTATTCGGAAATTCCTTATGCATTACAGGGCATATGTCCAACACGCCAATGTCCAGTTCTGTTTGTTTGGTTTTACTATTTTTATTTTATTTTTTTTTATTAAGGAATCAATATAAAAAAAGAGTACAAGTAAACAAACATAACAGTAAGAGAAAAAACAAACAAACAAACAAACAAAATAATAATACAAAAGGAGAAAAGTGAGCCAACATATACAAATATACAATCAAAATCGACAGATGGCAATACGGATGCATCTATATCTCTCTTACCTACACGTATAAACCCATACACGTGCATACATATTCATACACACATATCTGCATGTATACACACATACCCATATATACATACATATACATAGACATACATTCATATATATATACATACATACATACATACATGCATCCTCTACATACACAAATATATACATACATACCTACATATACACATACCCTCATACACACGTACACAAAAAAAAAAATTAAGGGGAAATAAAAAAACAATAAAAAAAACAATTTAAAAATAAATAAATAAATAAATAAATAAAATAAAATAAAATAAAAAAAAGGTACAAAGATTATACAAACAAAACAAAAAACAACAAAAACAAAGGGGAAGAAAAATAGAAATTAAAAAATAGGGAGGATGAAGAGTTAAAATGGCTATTGCATATTGATTTCACTTGAGTTTGCAGTTGCACCTTACTCTCCTGAATGTTTTTTTTTCCTTTTTTTCCCTTTTTTCCCTTTTGTTTGGTTTTACATTTTTTTGTGTCTATGTATTTGTGTGTCAAACAGTCAACTAGCTGAGGTAGTCCACTTAAAACAAACCACCTGAATACAGACAGCAGACAGAGAACAGAACACCCTCAAAACATATGCTAACTGACCACGGGATAGGGAAGACATCCAATATGATAATGAAAAGGCTGGACATCTGACAGCTAGGCCTATGTAGATGGAGTCAAGCTGGACTTTAAAAGGACTTTAAGAAATAAAATATAAAATATTTAAAAAAAATCTACAGAGGAGAAAGGTTGAAGTATTTTTCTTAGTGATGTATTTTAGATCTGACAAAATGTAGTCTTAATGCTAACTAAAATCTTCATTTTGGATGAGCTCCTAATGTTTGCACAGCTAATGACCCGTGTGTTGAAAGAAGGGGGAAGCTCCATACAAAAAGATTAACTGCCAATTCAAAGTACTGAAATCACAAGACTCTTAAATACAAGAATACAGTAGATTTAAAGCAGGACTCATTCATGGGTATATCAGTGGGAATAAAAACTACACTTTAAGGATCAATAAATTCAAGAGCAATCCAAAATGCCCTGGAACCTATCACCGCTTCCAGGAAATCTATTTAGTACATTAGTTGGTAATACTTTATTTTGATCCCCCACCTTAGAAAGTCTACTAATTATAAATAACTTTGCAAATGCATGTCAACTAGCAGTCAAAGAGTATTATTTTATATATTATATTATATATTATTATATATTATTTATATACAAATTATATACAAATATATTATTTTGATGGTCCCCGAACAGATATTATACTGACTATCAGTAGCTTTTCAAGTACATGTCAACTTAATCTACCATACGTTTTAGAGGTTTAGAGGTTAGGTTTTATTTTTTAAGGACCAGGAGCTTTAAATACCATGTATGGATTGTATCAGTATTTCAGTTTCGAGTTGTGACCTTTCCTCAAGGTTTTATTTTGTGCTTGATTTTTTTTTTTTTTGGGGGGGGGGGGGGTGGGGGGGGGGGGGGGGGGTTTGGGGGGGGGAATTTCCACACACTGCTCTGGACCATAATCGGCAGTGGCAATGAGGCTAGCTCTGGAAGTGACTGAGTCACACATTCACTCAATTTGAAACAGGTTGATTATAATAAAACAAATGAATGGGCAGTGCCTGCCTAATGGTTAGAGTCAGACTGGTAACCCAAAGGTTTGATTCTCAAAACCGGCAGGAAATGACAGAGGTGCCCTAACCTACAATCGCTCCCACAGTGCCACAGCAAAAAATAGCTGCCCACTGCTCCGGTTGTGTGTGTCCACATTTTGCTGTGTGTGTGTGTGTGCACTACTCACTGTTCCTAATGTGTGTGCACGAACTTGGATGGGTTAAATGCAGAAGGCGAATTCCGAGTATGGTTTACCTTACTTGGCCCCGGCCTATTGATTGTTTACCATACTTGGCCTTGACATGTCACTTTCAATTTCACATTTTCCATTTGCACTTACTTGTTTTGGTGCTTGGAGCCCTGCAGGTGTGCATGGTACTGTGCCACTGAATTCAGTGTGACACTACAGACATCACAGGTGTAGCAGCGTTTTAGACCTAAAGAGAAAACAGACACAAGTTTATGTTATTAGCAAGTACAAAAAATTAAATGCACATAACCTAGCATGGCAACCAAGAAGCTGAGAAATCTCATCACGTATATGTCTTTCAATGACATTATATTTAGGCTATAACATTTAGAGGACAAAATAAAATATTTTGCTATATTTGGGTTGTGGCATTAAAAAAACAAGCACTCTCTTTTTGTCCACAGCCTCTCCACCATGCTAAGCTAAAAGCAGAGTGGTCAATCAACCCTTATCATGTCATTTCCGAGAACAGAAGGACTAACTGGAATGAGATAACACTGGTCTCTATCTCTCTCAGTCAGCAGAGGCTCACACGGGTCACTGCTCGGCTGGGTTTCGCAGTTCTGCCTGATCAACTCTCCTGATTACCGTGCCCTGAGGGAATGTGCGAGTGTGTGTGTGGAGAAAATCAATTAAAGAGACATAAATATAGAAATGCCAAGCGTTTTTTATTTATATATTTATTTGAGTTTAAGAACTACTTTGCAATTACAATGGAAGGTCTCTCCATGAAAAGAGATCAATGTCAAGGGAGGGGGACCTTTTGAGGAGAGGAGGCTCCTGGGTTCTCTTGTGTGTGAGTCTGTGTCAAGTGACATTATAAATAATTGAGAGTACCATGTGGCTTGTAATGCAGTTTTGGATACTGATGTTGTCGCACCTGTAAGGGCGAGAGAGGGGAAGACGAGGTCGCTCTTATGGAGCGATGAAGGAATATGAGAAGAGTGAAACTTGGCTGAAATGAAACAATGTTATTATTCATTGTTGGGGAAGCCATTTTAAAACTTTAGCGCTGCTCATAATTTTAAGTATAGTTCATAAACCGATAGCGGACGTAATTACAGGAGGTTAAAAACATCTAAATTAGAATGACAGCATTCAATTGAAATAAACTTGAAGGTAAGTACAACTAAATTCCCGTTCACACTACAAGCAATTTTGTCGCTGCAGGTGACCAGTGTTTGTGAGTGATATTCATTACTCTATGCTAGATAAAAAATATGTTTTCTTGTCGTAACAAAGAAATATTTTGAAAGGAAAAGTCTAAATATAAATAAAATCAGTATATAAAATGCATAATATTAAAGATGAACCAGAAACAGTGAGTTTGCTGCTATTTAAATGCAGCAAATACCGGTCTATCTTTGTTCCCGAAACCACTCAGCCACAAAGACAGTATGGTGAATACCACTGTATGTACACAGAGATATATCATAAATTATAGGGCAGTTTCTGATGGCTAAAATGAGCTTTTCATTCAACTTGCCTCGGTCAGACTCAGCACTGAAGAGCGACGCGCTCCACTGACATTTTGAAATTGAAAGCGAGGCTCCGGTGGGAAGAACCCCGGAAGTACAGATAGACAACAATGCCTTGGAGTTCCAACCTGAAGCTGTCAAGTCTAAAGTATGAAAGAAATGCATGTACATTTTTAGAATAACTTATTTCTACATTACATTCAACACAACAATACGCCAAACAGCGGCTATGTGAAATCAGCGTTTTGGTTGTCGCTCCCGAAACGCGCCCCACCGGTCGCAGTCGCGCGTCACCAGAAATTGCCTGTTCCCCATTGAAATGAATGGTGTCATGTTGTTTTGTCGTTTGTAGTGTGAACGGGGCTTTAGAAAGCTAATTTAGCACTAATTCACAAATACTGTATAGTGTCAAATACTACTAAATATTTTGCTTCAAAAAACAACCCTGAATGTGTGGATACAAAAATATTCAGGGGATAAAAAATATTTCTATCGAAAATATTTCAGTGAATTGATTTATTTATTTTATAAATGTAATACCTTTTTATTCGATCAGTGAATTGTGTTTATTTACATAAAAACTGTGAAAAGTTATCCACTATTTATTTACAAAACACACATACAGTATATATACTGTATATCAGTGGTTCTCAAAGTGGGGTCCGCGGACCCCTGGTGGTCCGCGAGCTAAAGCCAGGGGGTCCGCGAAATAATTTACAACCTAACGTTTTTTTCCATGCTATGAGTCATGTTTTCTTTATCATCTGAAAACATGCTGTTTATTCCTAAGTAACTTATATAAAGCATTTAACATAAAACAATACAAAGTAGACACTTAAAGTTTTCTATAGATAGATAATCTATGTCTTTGCGTCAAGTAGATTATTCGCTGCTGTTGATTTTGCGGGACGTGCGCCAGAAAGGAGACAGAGAGACGGCATGAACCCGCATCCGGTTCTTTTCTGTATTTTTAAAAGGCATGACATTTTGTAGTCATTTATAATGTAGCCTATATACACAAATAAAAAAAATGGACACTTTACCGTTTCGGATGATGCACTCTTGTCTTATGACCATAAATAAGAGTATTCCTGTTTCCACTGCTGAGGAAAAATTCCCATGTAATTGCGCGCCGGCGTCTCGCGTGCGCGCACAATAGTCAGTTCTAGCACTGCTACTGTAGATTTGACATTAGAAGTCTGATCATTATCAAAATAAAAGTGCATAGTGACAGGGCCGTACCCACAACTGAGGTTGCAAGGATTCACATCGCGATGATACTGACCTTCTCGTCTGAGGTGCTTCAGCAGACTAACAACGATAGCTCGTCAATGTCAAAATGTTTGAGTCGGAGTGAACTCAAAGTTCCCCGCACGACGTTTCAGTCAACGGTCATAAAGTGCGAGATAAGATGTAGGCCTTAATTAACATAAACTAAACAGCTGTTTTAGATAAAAGTTTTAAAAAACGACTGAAACAATCAGTTTGCAAAGTATTAATCATGCTCAACTTTAACAAAGGAAAAAGCAGGTCAATAGAAACATACTGTGCCCATGAGATTAACATTATGGATTCATATATTTAACATATACTGTATGTTTTTTTTAGCTAATTACAGTAGCTCAAATTAACAACGCACGCACCTATTAAACATAATGCCATTATCATTGTATTTATAGGCTTATTGGCTTTATTTGTGTGCAGAATAGGCCTAATTATTGAAACATTTCTCTTTTAAGGCCATTCCTGATTGGAATATGTGATTGTGTTTCGTGACATCTTGACAAAAAAAAAAAAAATGTATGCCACTGACTGACATGCTTCTACTAAATCTATAGTTATCCAATTGTGGGGCCTTAAAACACCTTAAAATGCACATGTGTAGATCAAGAACATCAAAAATTCCTAAGTGAGGGATCCTAAGTGATTCCTAGCAAGATCACTTTCATTATCTCAGTAGGCTATTTAGAAATTCCTGCATAGTACCCTGGGTGGAGACCATTCATTTTGTGCAAAAATATTTCATTTGCCGCTCACACATTAACTTTGTGCTCAATAACTGTTATAAATATGAGGGGGGTCCTTGGAATTTTTTTTCCCCTGAAAGGGGTCCCTGGCACCAAAATGTTTGAGAACCCCTGCTGTATATGACAGAGGACAGAGCAAGTTTTATTATTGCTTCAACTCACTCTGCTATGCAATAAAACATGGAAAAAAATACAATAATATAGCATTCTGTAACATCACAGTTATACTTGTTGAACACAAATGGTCACTACTAAAAATGTGGTTGAGTAAGTAGCATCACTTGTTTGTTACTCCCCTGCAGCCTACCCGTTTTGTGTTGACTTTGGACAGCAAAACGCTTATGACTAACACGACACAGAAACATTTTGGATCTCCATCAGTGCCATTTTCTGCCTGCGCCCCCCGTTATGGATTAAGCGTCCCGTGTAATTGCTTTCATGTTGCACTAATGATATTGTAGCTGAAAAATGGCTTTTGCAATCTCCTCTTCCAAATTGAGTTAAACCCATAAACAACGTTTGGAGGAGAAGGGCATGCAGAAATGTCTCTTACTGTTGATTCATGATCATGCTTAATTTTACTTGTTCTCACACTTCTAGAGTAGCCAGGGGCCTGGCAAACTGGGAACCACATGTTCATATTCTCATATTTGAGGCGTGGTTTACGAATGCCCAGAGCCATTTATTGGATGCGAAGAATGTCTATCAAACGCGCCTGTACGTAGCTCATAGTCAGTCGTTTCAATTATACCAGATGACATATGTAGAGCGACAGAAATTAGACGAGGAAAAAGACGATGGGTCAGACATTTATGTGTATTCGATGCCGTGTACCTAACGGCCGTTTCACAGCAGTGAAGCGGGGATTTCAGCGTTGAATCTGTTTTTTCTGCACTGCTCACGCTCAATTAAAGTGAAAGCACAATTTTGATGGACAAAAATAAATATGATTTGACACAAAAAGTGCCCAAAATGCACAGAATAAACATGTCTAGTGAGTTTTAACAAGAACTTAAGAAGGCAAATAAAAGAAAATAAAAACAAAAAAAATATAGAAGATTTAGGCTACCCAGTAAAAACTTGTTTTTAATTATTCAGTTTAGGTGAAAGTTGTGTATTATGTGTGTATATATATATATATACACACACACATTAAAAAAAAAACACTAAAGTAAACTAGCCAGAAATTATTATATATAAACTTTCTTTTAGTTTATGTAACACACAGACAGACAGCTAGATAGGCTAGTATAACCCAAATCAAACCAGAGTGTGTGGTTTATTTGTGTGTTTTGTTTTTTGTCAAACAACATTTGCAGTCTTGAAAACATATCGAAAGTATGACTTAAACTAATAGATTGGAGCCATTTTCTGGGTTGTTTTGTTGTTAAACATTTATATGCGATGGTTGTACACCTCTCCATTACAAACTTTCAAGACTATCAATGTTATAAATGACCAACTTCCAGAAACAAATGTATAGTTGTCTTTGTAAAGAATTGCTCGCTTAGGCTATATATGTAGCTTTGTATCCGCTGCCGTGACACTGTACAAACACTTCCAGTGTGATGAATACTCTCACGCATCTGGAGCTGGTAACTTTGCGTCTGCTGCCATGTTGTATCCATAGGTATAAATAAACTGCGTTGCTGTTTAGCATAGAATTCGTCATTGTCTTGCTG